TTTACTCTGAGAGATCCCCTGTGTGTTCCTTCATGAATGGCCACAGAAGCTTTTGCTCTTGGCTCTGCGTTCTAATAGCATCTCCTGCATGGTCTGTGGCAAAGCAATGCTTTGAAATATGCGTCCATACTATGTGGCTTTTCTTGCTGCAGTTTCTGTTCTTTTTTATTGTAGGATCGGGAGACTCACCACTAGAAGACGATGAAGTCGGGTATTCACACCCTAGATATAAAGGTGAATGCTTTGCTTGTGTGCTAATGAGGACCTGCTGATGCCAGGAGAACTTTCCTTTTTGCCCTGCAGAACAGATTGTAATAAAGTGACCAGACAACACATTTAAGTTCTAATTATCTATCAAGGAAAAAGTATTTAAAAAAAAAATATATATATATACTCCCTTTTTTAAAAAAGGAAATAAAACAAAATGCGTTGGAAATCTCTGAAATGCTGTCTTTCAGCATCCCAATGGTCATTTTATTCTCATAAGTTTCTTTACTGTCCTCACTTCTGCAAAGGCAGCTGTAGCTGATGAAAGTGAAAATCAAGCCATGAGTTCTGCCTAATTCACACATTACAGCCAGAATCATCCAGAGTAAACCCCCCAAGGTCAAATCTGGACCAAGTGCTGATAATGTACTAAGATGAATGGGGAATGAGAAAACTTGATTTTCATAAGCTCATTTCATCGTGCTCTTTCTGAGCCCAGCATGGCTCCTGAAACGGTATGTTAAAGTATGTTGCTCAAATGAAACTTAACTTAATGATAAAGAACTCCATCTCTACATATTCGCAGCAATCCACCCCCCAGCAGGTATAAAAAGCCTAAACAAGAACCTTCTATGCAGACTCAGGTAAGTAGGTCCACAAATATTTCTACTGGTGAAACATTTCTCTGAAGTTTAGGGAAACCTGGGAGAAATGAAGGTAAATTGAGAGATGCTTTTGCTCTGAATCTAGTTCCTCTTACAGTGGAGGAAGAATTTGAAGAAGAAGAAAAAAAAAAAAGGTTAACAAAGTTCCACTGTGGCATTTTGCCCTGGAAATTTGTCCTAATTCCTGGGATGAGGACGTGGCCCTTGTTTTTTATGATGTGTCTCAGATACAGGAGAATCAGGGTAGGACTGGACAGCTTTTGGCTGGAGATGTCCTTCAGTTGTTTTCTACACAAGTCAACAATATTTCCAATATAATGACTGGTGCCTGGTGCTTATGTCCAGGTATGCTTCCCACCACCTACCACATTTGTTTGTGACATCTGAATGCAAGTACTCATTCCTACCTGTAGTTTCTATCTTCATAGCATCAGAAATTAACCAATCAAGCAAAGCACCAATATGTTAATCAGATGTTTGTGGTAAAGAAATGTTCTAATTCATAAAACTTCCTAACTATTTATGGGTTTAGATTTTTTTTCTTTGAGTCCCTTGTTGAAAAATCTTCCTAAAACACATGCATGCACAGATGACCCTTCACATCTATAGCAGGGGTTGCCTAGTACCCTCAGGTCATTGTTTTTCACGTCCATCCTCACTTCACAGCATTGCAAATGTGACAGGTAGACCAGATGGCCAAAATGTGTGCTTGCCCTAGAACTTACCCTGAATGTTTAAGAATAAATTTTCTTGGGGCATTGTTTCTATTGTCAGTTAAATTGCTTACTGGTAGCAATCATTTCAGTATGTATAAGTATATCAAAACATCATGTTGTACACTTTATACAATAAAATTTAAGTTTTATTTATTATTATTATTATTATTTTTTGAGATGGAGTCTCACCCTGTCACCCAGGCTGTAGTGCAGTGGTGCGATCTCGGCTCACTGTAACCTCCGCCTCCCAGGTTCAAGTGATTCTCCTACCTCAGCCTCCCAAGTAGCTAGGACTACAGGCACACGCCACCACGCCCAGCTAATTTTGTATTTTTAGTAGAGACAGGGGTTTCACTATGTTGGCCAGGCTGGTCTCGAATTCCTAACCTCAGGTGATCCACCCACCTTGGCTTCCCAAAGTGCTGGGATTATAGGTGTGAGCCACCACACCTGGCCAAGTTTTTTTAATTTTAAAAGCTAGAGGCAAGCCATTATTAACTGAGGGTTTAGTTTTAGATCCTGAGGCCCCTGCACAGTGTCTAGCACAAAGTGTTTTTGAATTAAAGTAAAATAGGAAAGAAAATTAAATGTAACCAACATTTACGACACTCTTGGTATGTGGCAATCATGGCTTTTGATTATTTTGCTTGGAATACATTCATACTGATTGAGTGAATTTGTGATGTATGTATAAGCAGGTCATATCTATACATACAGTAGTTCCCCCTTATCTGTGGTTTCACTTTCCAAGGTTCCACTTACCTTCAGTCAACCTCAGCCCAAAAATATTAGATATTTTGAGAGAGAGAGACAGTACATTCATATAACTTTCATTATAGTATATTGTTATGATTGTTCTATATTATTATTAGTTGTTGTTAATCTTTTACCATGTCTAATTTATAAATTAAACTTCATCATAGGTATGTTTGTATAAGAAAAAAACCCAGTATATATGGCGTTGAGTACTATCCAAGGCTTCAGGTATCC